GAGAAATCGCCCCCCAGAGGGGATGGCCACGCCGCAATCCCTTCTCCTCCATTCTCCTCTCGGGATCTTGGGCACGCATGTACACGCGCCCGGCATGAGTTTTAAGCCACCGGGTCTGGGATGCGAACCGTGGTCGACTACGTGGGAGTCCAGCGGCATAGCCATTACGCCAACTGCTGGTTCCCTACTTTTCCTTTTTTTTAAGAGAGAGATTTTTGCTATAGGGATGTGCGCTGGCTGGAGAGACACAGAGAGACAGAAAGCGAGAAATCACGCTGGGGAGGGGCTGTGTGTGTGGCCACACTGCAATCCCTTCTCCAATCTCCTCTCAGGATTTCGGACACTTACACACACGTGCCTGGTGTCATTTCCAAGCTTCCAGGTTCTGGGACTTGAACCGTGGTTGGCCATGTGGGAGTCCACCAACGTAACCATTACACCATCTGCTGGTCCCAGTCTGCTTTTCTTTCTTCCTTTCTGTCTTTCTTTTTAAATAATTATTTATTTAATTTCATTTATTCTTTTTTTTTTTTTTTTTTTTAATTCAACCAGAGAGCACCACACTGCAAAGGCTTTCTGTACAGTGTTTTCCTTCTGTTTTGTGGAGAATAGCTACTATAGCAATACCATGTACGAACATGATTTTGTCTTACCATTTTTTGATATAGACTTTAGATTTCCAAGGCCTTTTTTACAAAAACTATTTATTTATTTGATTCCATTTGTTATTATTATTTTTTTTTTCAATGTGACCAGAGAGAGACAGAGAGAGAGAAAGGGAAAGTGAGAAAGCAAGCCGCCAGGTCTAGGACTGGAACCACAGTCAGCCATGTGGGAATCTAGGACCCCTAACCACTGTACCACCTTCCGGCCACATTATTTTTTTTTTTTTTTTTTTTCTGGAGAGGTTTTTGCTGTACACATGTGCCCCATGTGCCAGGGAGATCCCGGGAGTCAAACCCAGGACCTTTCCCGCTGCGTCATCATGCAGACACAGGAATTGAACCAGTGACAGTGGGGTGTTACACAGAATATGTGGCAAACCACATTGTTTTTTTCGTTTTAGACAACATTCTGTTTGCCTTTTTTAGACAGATTTTTGCTACAGGGTTCTTGCGCTCATAAGAGAGACAGAGAGACAGAAAGCAAGAAATCATCCCCCCAGGGGGATGGCCACGCCGCAATCCCTTCTCCTCCATTCTCTCAGGATCTTAGGCACGCCCGCACATGCACCCAGCATGAGTTTGAAGCCACCGGGTCCGGGACTCGAACCATGGTTGGCCACGGAGTCCAGTGATGTAACCACTATGCCATCTGCTGGTCACAGAAAACCACATTGTCTGAAAAGTGGCCCAGGCCCAGCCCAGGGCACGGTGGTTGAAAAAGTTGGATCCAACATGGCCGAATGCACACTTCGAGTTCCAGACCCCGCAGCTTCAAAACCACGCTGGGCACATTAATGAGTGCCTAAAATCCCGACAGGACAGAGGAGAAGGGATTGCAGCATGACCATCACCCCCTGGGAGGGATTTCTCTCTCTCTCTCTCTCTGGCAAATGCACACACCCTATTGCAAAATCTCTCTAAAAAAAAACAAAAAAGGATGGGGGCCAGCAGGTGGCCTGGTGTTTAAGGGCACTGGACTCCCACATGGCTGACCATGGTTCAAGTCCCAGACCTGGTGACTTGCTTTCTCACTTTCCCTCTCTTTCTCTTTCTCTCTTATTCTGTCCCTCTCTGACCAAATTAAAAATAAGTAATGTTAAATAAAATAAAATAATTCTTTGAAAAAAATTTAAGGCTGGCAGGTGGCATGGTGGTTGGGGCACTTTTGAGAGGTTTTTGCTATAGGGCGCTTGCACTCCCCAGAAAGACAGAGACAGAAAGCGAGAAATCACCCCGTGGGGGGATTGCCACGCCGCAATCCCTTCTCCTCCATTCTCCTCTAGGGATCTTGGGCACGCACGCGCACACGCCCAGCACGAGTTTAAGCCACAGGTCTGGGACTTGAACCATGGTCAACTGCATGGGAGTCCAGCAACTTAGCCATTATGCCAATGGTTGGTCGCAGTGTCAGTGGCTTTAACTCTAGGTGGAATGGACAGCCAGAAGGGTGGGTTTTCCCCTGCAAACCTTGCAGAGGACTTGGGAGAGGGTAGGCATGTCCACTCAGAAGCTCCTCGGACTCCCAGGAGACAGGCGAGTCAGGCGAATCGGTCCCTGTCCTTTTCCAGATAAATGACCTGCGCTCCCAGAAGACTCCCATCGAGAGCTTATTTATTGAAGCCACCGAGAAGTTCAGGAGCAACATCAAAACCATGTACTCCGTCCCGGTACGTGGCAGTCTCGCCCTCCCAGCCTTCCCCTGGCCTCCCTGGGACCGTCCCCAGCCCTGTCCATCCCACCCGGTGGAGGTCACCTGACAGCTGGCATTCCCACAGAACGGGAAGATCCACGTGGGCTACAAGGACCTGATGGAGAACTACCAGATCGTCGTCAACAACCTGGCCACCGAGCGGGGCGAGAAGGACACCAACCTCGTCCTCAACCTCTTCCAGTCGCTGCTGGACGAGTTCACCCGCGGCTACACCAAGAACGACTTTGAGCCGGTGAAGGTGGGTGACTATACCACGCCCCCTCGCAACGCCACGCCCACTTCTCGCCCGCGCCCACTTATTGTACCGAGGTGTTTGCTATGCCACGCCTACAGCCACGGTCACCTCCCTTTGTTGCCCCCCCCCCCGCCGTGCCAGGTCTTTTGCCACGCCCACTGCCGCCTGTACTCAGCCATGTTGCCACGCCCACTGCTGTACCCTGTTGAGTGCCTTGCCACGCCCGCCACGACATCTCGCCAGCTGTTGGCCACGCCCTTTGTTTGAGCCACACCCACCTCTGCTATATCTGTCACTAAGCCACACCCACCTCGGCTGATGGATGTCTGTTCCAGACCTGCTAGCCCCGCCCCCTTTGCTATGCTGTGACAGGCACCTGCCCTTCCCGCCTCTTCAGCCTTGCCGTTTAATACACCACGCGTACTTCTTCCAGCCTGGGAGCCTAGCACCACCCCGACAGAGCATCAAGTCTGTGTTGGGCATTTAGGGATAGGGCGTGTGGGGGGCGTTCAGGTGGGTCCCGTTGCTCCGAGGGAGGGCCCTGGTGCCAGGCAGACCCAGCGTCCCCTCCCAAACCTCGTCTTCACGTCTCTTGCAGCAGAGCAAAGCTCAGAAGAAGAAGCGGAAGCAGGAACGCGCTGTGAGTAGGCCTCTGTGCGTCTGAGTGCATGCAGGAGTATGTATGTGTGTCCATAGGCATGCACACATGTGTACACGTATGTGCAGATGTGCATGTGTTTCCAACCCCTGGCGGTCATGAGCACTAATTATAAAAGAGCAGAGCCCACACCTGGTTTCTCCGCCCAATGGCCGGGCGCCTCCCCAGGTGTACCCGCCACTACCCCCTTGCTCAGCACCCTCGCGCCCGCAGGTCCACGAACCCAATGGACACGAGTTCGTTAG